CCATTGCTGCAGTACTATAATTTATGCTGGAGTGGTGCCTCTAAAAATCAAAGAACTTCAAAAACCTACCACATAGTATCGTCTTCAACCTGAAGAACTGCTTTCAGTTCAGCTTTTTTGCCATTTTGCAGCAGGGCTTCAAAATTCACCCATAACAGAATTATATTATTTCAGTCGCATATAATCTCTCTCCCCTCCTCATACTTGCTTATATTTTAATGAAAGTTACCCTACATATTTTCCAGCAACAGGTCTATAACAGGAAGAGAAATGCACAGGCTCTTAGCTAGTGATAACATACCGCAATGTGCAAAAGAATCGAGCCTGGTTGTACATTTCAGTAACACTCTTCCTGGATAGGGAGCGAGAAAAAACAAGTCACAGGTTCAAAAGAGTTTGTGTTGATCAGGATACATATTACACATGCACTTATATATGAATATATACACATAAAAAAATTAAATAAAGAGTATTGGGGTTTCTCCCCAATCAAAAAAGATCGCTTAAAATCCGGGATTTGTTGAAAGTGTTTTACCAGTCAGATACTCCTGGTGCTGTGATAGAATCTGTGTGTGTGTCAGGCAGGAGACCTGGGTTCGATTCCCAAAAAAAAGAGTTCCTTACACAAGTTTTTCTGAGATATTGCGTTTACATCTGTCCAAGTACAAACCAAAGCTTTCAACAATAAATTAACTAAATAGTACATTAAAAAAAACCTATTCCTTTAATACAAATAGTTTGCCTGAAAACTGGAAAAAGTGCTTTCAACCTAAATCAATACTGATTTCTTGATATTTTATTGGAAAAAAGCTTGCATTTGTGCCCCAGCTTTTGTTGGAGTGCTGCCAGCCCAGTCCCTTATCACTAGCCAAAGGAACACTGAAGTTTATAGCTTCTGAAGCCACATAAAGGTCATTTCCAAGGGAGAAAGGCAGGTAAGGAAAAGGACTCCAAGCCATCTCCATGGTTTTCTTTTCTACAATTCTCTGCAGTAATTAAAGAACTGTGGTTCCAAACGGTGATACCAGGACCATTAAGCATTGAACTATTCAGCAAGTGCTAGAGAGGCTGATATTTTTCCATCCAATCTGCCTATAGGAAAAGTTAGGTTTTCAAAAATAAAAGGGAATTCAGAGGAATTTAGGGAAAAGGTCCAAGTTCTCTCCAGAAAGCACACTTCAAAGCTCCTCATAAGCTCCCAGCTTAAAAAGCAAAAACATGGATCCAGAAAGTGCAAGGGGTGCCTCTGAGAGTTGGCATTTACATGTCAAAGAGCCCCGCTGTCCATCTGCAGAGCCTGGCTGAGAAAGGAGATGGCCCACAGAGATTCCTGGCCAAGGACTCCAACACAGCATGAGCGCATCACACCAAAAGGTGAGGCTGTGGTTCATCCTAAGAAATATAGACCAGCCAAGGACTTCAACACATACATGGGGATAGGGCTGTGATGCTCCTGACCTGCTTCTATGAGCCACTGCTGCAGCATTTCAAACAAAGACCAGTTTTTGTTTTTCTTGTCGCTGCTTTGATTGAAAATTTGTTTTTTTTTTCCACAGAGAAAAGCATTTCTAACTAGCTTTAGCAAGCACTTATCCAGGGCAAATGAGCTTTAAACATGTTTTCCCCAGTAAAACTCAGTCTTGTCCAAGTGCTACAAAACTCAGTACTAAACTCCTAACAGGATACACCCCCTAATAAGCTGTATTCTAGTCCACAGTACACTTTGCACAAAAAGAGAGGATTAAGTTGCAGGGGGAGGCTTTAAGTACACTGATTTGAAAGGGGAGACTGTCAAAGTCATCAACATTTGTGTTCTGATTTATATACCGCTGCACTTCCAGTTCCTTCACATAGCTGGCTCTTTGCTGGGGGAAAAAGTGTCTTAATAAAATGTCACTCTATAAAAAAAAGATAATATTGACAAAACAAGTAATGCCTGCTGCAACTATTTCTTTTCCCATGCTGTATCCCAAACCCTTCAACAGATGTATTTTCTTTGCTCAGTATCGGTTGCGTTTCATCTACCTATAGACTGGCATTCTAAACCGAGTAAGTTTTCCTTGGATTCAGTGTATCTTCAGCTAAAACACAATTTCCACAGTTCCCCTGTACCAGAAATAACCCACAGTAAAGAAACACCCCAGATTAAGAAGGGATATTGTTTTTAGCTCCCATCTGTAATGGCAGAAGACCTTCAATGCTCCAGAAATGGAAGGCAGTAAAAGATGAGATAGCCAAGGAAACCAACACACAGAACCCTGGAACCTGCAGCAGCGACTCATTTGGCAGTTTTAGTGAAGTTTCTAGCCATAGTCCCACTACCGCTACTATCAGAAAACAGTGAATGGACGTGTCAGCTAATGTGACAATCATCCCACACCCTAAAGAAAAGCCAAGTCTAGGCACTTTTAATGCCCCTGTCATCATAGTACCAGAACACCTCTCAGCCCAACGTAGTTATCTCTGCAAAGAAGGGAAATGCTGTTATTTTCAGTTTACAAAACAGACAAGAGGCGAAGACTAAATAATCAGCACAGGATCACAGAGGAAGCTTCTGATGGAGCTGGGATTTAAATTTACATGTCCCAATCCCAGGACCATCCCTCAGCTGTCAAGGCAATGTTTCTCAAGCTTTTTAAAACAGAAGGTACCTCTCACTAGACTCAAAGAGCTTCTCAAAAAAAGCACTCCTCAACCAATTCTTAGCTTTCGTACTTTTTCAACTACAGAAAAATACTCGAGGAATCCTTTTAACATCTTTCTGAGCTGGAAAACACCCGGAAAGACTACAACAAGTCAGAACGATTTTGATACTATGCATTCCTACTGGAAATCTCTGGGTTTGTCTGGTGAATTGTGCATAGGTGTTTGTAATCCTAACAATGCTAATATTAAGCAGCACCACACAGTACCCGTAAAGGGATCTTATGGCACCCCAGGGTGTTGCAACACCCTGATTGAAAAATCACTGGTTTAAGGTGTCTCAAAATAGGAGTACTGTATCCCAAATCACCAGCCACTAAAATAAAAAAAAAAAAAAAGTGGGTGTTGGCCAATCACATGTACATAATATCAGGCTGTCTTTCGTTGCTGCCAAGCTGCGTATGCAAAGTACCAATACGACAAAACTGTCTTGAGATACACAAAAAACACGCTTCATAGTTTGTGGCATCAAGATTACCTGCAGGCACGTGGACCCAGAAGCTTGCCTAGCATTTCCCCTGGGACAATCATTCTGTAACAGAGCATCCAACAAAAAAAGGTGGTCCTGTACCTGAGCAGCATCCCCTGAAACTCCTGCCTGGTTTCAGCTCCCCTCTTTGCCACAAAACAGTTGTATGACCTCAGCCAAGTAACTTACGAGTCAAGTTCCCATCCATGAAGAGAAGAAAATCGTGTCCCCCTCACGACAACTTGACCGGAGTTAAGATCATCAGCCCCTGTGTGAATAGGAGGAATATCAAGGGACATGTCCTCCAGCGCGAAATTAATAAATCATTACCTTCCAAAAGGACTCTTCAGCCTAACTCACCCTAACAGCCCCACAATAAGCCAGTGTATGCAAAACAAGAAGAAGAATGTGGAGAGGGACTGAGTTCAAGCTTCAGTAGTTATTGTAAACAGAAACCACACCATTCTTGTCCCATCACAGCTGATTATATTACGTGATCCTGGACCCACAGCACAAAAGGCACGCCTGCAACTCAGGACAACTGTCCAGACTTCGTTTATAGACGACATGCCTCTCATATTTCTACTGCATCACATATCTCAGCATGTATTTTGAGTTTCATGGTTGACTGTAAGACTGTAAGCAAGCAACACATGCTACCGATTGGTTTACCGCAGCATTTATATTCTGTTTACCACCTCAATACCTGCAGTAAAGGGACGCAATACCACAACAGATGGCATGGCTACAGAACGACAACACTGCAAAGGCTTGAATGCAAAGAAGAAAAGCATACGGGAGACGCCGTGCAGGACACTGGAGAAGAAGCAATTAGAGAGGTCAGTAACACTGATCTCTTGCTAATCCCAACTCCTTTGTATGACCTGCAGGGATAACATGGCTACGGAAAGGTGGATTAATAAACCCTGGTGGCTCAAAAGTTCGGACGCAGCAGCACTTTCGCTGCAACAGCGCCTCAGACCTCTCTCGAAAGAAAAAAGTTACTTCTGAGCAGCTGCAGCCAAGCCTGGGGGAAAAGCCTGGAGAAAAAGTGCAGGGGAAGCCCGTCTGGGAGTGGGGGCCCCGCACAACAACCCCAAGGCCTGTCTGGACCCGAACACTGCTGTGGTTCACAACCTTTTCGTATTCAAAGCCCCCTTCCCAGACCGGAGCCACCCCTCATTAGAAGCGAGACACCTCAAGGAAAACGCCAGCTCTTCTCACTTTTTTTTTTTTTTTTTTTTGACTACAGACAAAAGAGCAATTTTTTCCTATTGCCAAGAACCGGGAAAGCCCCCAGCAGAGCAGGATGGATTTTCACAGTCAGGGATCCCACCCGAGACCTTGCAAGGAGGTCAAGCCGCCCCTCCCTGGGGGCCCCACCGCCTGGTCCCACTGAGGGCAGCCAACAAAGGGCTCGACCCCGGATCCCGATGTTGAGTAAACACTTCCAATGCCCGTCTCCTCCTGTCCAAGGAAACCGCATCTTCTGGGGGGCGCCTGAGCACCCCCAGCGCTTCCCAGGGACGAGGCCGAGCCCAGGCAGCACCTCAGCCAGGGCAGGACACGGGGGCACCCACTGTGCCCCAGCCCGGCAACCCCAAACCCCCTCGACCCCAAGAATTCCCTGACCCTAAACTCCCTTGACCCCAAGCACCCCTAGACTCCTGACCCCAGGAACCCCTTGACCCTAAACCCCCTTGACACGAAGCACTCCTTGACCCCAAGCACAACTTGACCCTAAACCCCCCCCGACACGAAGAACCCCTTGACCCCAAACCCAGCCCAACTTTACCCAACTCCCGCCCCCCGCGCGGCGCCCCCTCACCGGGTCGGGGCTGCTGCGGGCGGCGGCGGCGCACTGTCCGGACGAGACTCGCGCGCTGCCTCCTCCCTCCCAACGGATCCGCGCATGCGCCAGCCGGCCGGAGCAAAGAGGGCGGGATCGACCCCCCTCCCCGAACGTTGGGGAGCCCGCTGCCATTGTTCCGCTGAGGTGCCAGTAGGCGGCGCGGCAGCCAATAGGAGCCGAGCGACGGGGAGCAGCTGGGAGCGGGGCGAGCACGTGGAGGGGAGGCTGCTCTGCCTGGGGCGCCGCCCCGCTCCGCCGCCCGCAAACTATTGTGTGCGCAGGAAGCAGCAGCCGGCGTGCGGGAGCCGCGCCTGGCACAGTCCGGCTTGTCCCGCGGAGCAGACACCTGCCAGCCCCGGGGTGCAGCCCCTCCAGATCACAGCTGGCCTCCACGCCACGCAGCTCCCCCTTCCCTGTGCAGGATGGAAATCGCAGGCTTCCCTATGCAATGAATTGACACAAAGCAGCAGCGGAGGCAAGAGGAAACCCCTGTCCCTGCACAGTAGCACGGTGCCCCCTGGGTAGCGCAGAGTAGAGCGGCTGGGAGGTTGCCCCGCCCCACGCCATCTACAACAGTGTTTCTCAACCCAGGGGCACGCGCACCCCCTGAGCGGGGTGGTGCACCCCCTACAAAAAGGCCACCCACCAGCCAGCAGTATCTGTGGGAACTCCCCGCTTAGTGCCGCCAAGCTCCAACCGCTGGCGTGCCCCCCACAGCCGCCGAGGGCACGTGTCGTTCATGTCTCAACCCGTGGGTGGCAAGAATATATGAACGAACTTCAAAAAGGATCAGCAAACTTTAAAAATGGGTTCTACTTGAAAGGAGAAAAATGTGGGAAACCGTGAGTTTTCCCTTGCAGGCTGGCAGAGTTCCCATCCCCACACACACATCCTGCCCCACAGCCACCTCCTGCCCTGGACACTGGGGCCTGCGGGCACGGGACAGTGGGTTGGGAGTGGGGGGCACTGAGTTGAGACCAGCCATCAATCTTTACAAATGGATCCTGATATCAAAAAGGTTGAGAAGCACTGATCCAGAACAGCCCCGCAAAAGTTTGGTCCTTAGGTCCAGGATCACATGCAGGCAATGCCTACCTGGCCTTGCAGCAGGTGCCTAGTGAGCAGGGAGGCTGAGAGGGGTCCACCTCTGCCTGCATTAGCTGTATGTCATTAGGGTATTTTCTTGATGACAAAGGCTGGGAAGCTGCATCTGCAGAGTAGCTTTATGCCTCTTTTTGCAGTGCTGGACCTGGACAAGTATGGCCTGAATAAGGCATCTCCCCTATGCCCTATCTGATGTTTCTCAGACGCAAGGTAAAATATGGGAGGGGAATCCTCCTGGAGACCACACTACTTTTTCAACAGCCTTAATCCGGAAAATTGTACCTGTTTCTTTCTCGGGTCCTCCTCACCAAGGGAAATGCCCCCTGGGAATAAGAACAAATATAAGCCGGGGGGAGGGACAAAGATCTCAGTCTTTTGTCCCAGAAAGTTCTTATATTGGACACACACCTTTGAATCCAGAGTTATCGGGTGACATCCATGGTCCATGAAGCCTCTGCGACAATTTTCAGGGTTGGAAGGAAAAAACAGGAGAGCTTGCCAGACAGCCCCAGTGAGGTGAACTGGAGTTTTGCCACTGGGGTGAAACCTTCCCCTCTATATGTTTCCCTGAAAAATGTATGCATTTACAGTGAGGCTACAGTGGCCTATGTACCACATGTACAGAGGCACTTCATGGTCTTGGAAGACACAAGGAGATGTGGGGTTGACATCTGCCTGCCTTTGAGAAGGGATATGCTCCATATACACATCTCTCTAGAATGACCTGGTAGGTTTTCGGCCACTTTCATCAGCTCTGGGGCAAGGGAAGTGATGCACATTACAGCTCTTTTTCCTTACCTCACTTAGTTGAGAGTTACCACTGGCACTGACATGCAATTTAAGGATCCAGAGGCAGTGCTCCCTCTGTGTTTACTGGCAGGCAGAGGGAATGTGGTTTAATG